TTTTAAAGAATACTAGTTGCAATATTTACATTACTAATACTCCCGTTAACTACAGTAAAAAAGCTTAAAAATGCTTGTGATGAGAGTGGTTCACTACAGTAGTCGAATGGCGGATACGAACCCACGACTCGAGTATGCATTCCGTTCCCTACCATTAAGTTACTTGTATTCCGATATCTTGACATTATTACTTACTGAAGATTTTATTAATTATCGTTATGTGTTTATTTTAAACAAACAAATATTTTGAAAATACACCCGAGGCTATCCATGCAGGAATAATCTTTAAGTAAAACGTACAAACCAGCTCGTAAATCCCAATCAGGGAATTAAAAACGTTAAAATTAAACGTGACAAAATCCTTAAAGCTAGTTTTATACAATACATAATATGTAGATAATTAAATATTCTTAGATCAAACAAACATCAAATTCAATTCCTATTTTAAGTTTTTTTGTTTTAGTTTATAGTTCCTTATACCTAATCGCTATATGATTGTATATAATGACTGTAAAAACTTTAGAACACGTAATACTGCGTTAATCTCTTCTAAAATCATTAATAAAAAACTAACCAGAAATTTCAAGATATTTACAAAAACCATAAATCAAAGCCTTGTTTATTGCAATGTAAACATTATCTCTTATGTATAAGGCTTTGAATAGCGAGTTCATTATCACAATTGATGCTGATAAGCTTATGTCGTATTTTCTTCTAGCATTCTAACGCTAAAAGCACAGGTAAGATTAAAGGTCAAACACTGTGTTTAAGGGGCACTTTTATTTTAAAAAAAAATGAACAATATTCTATATATGGGCTTAGTAAATATATAAAATAATAAGTATACATAAATATATATTTAATAAACTAAAGTAAATAAATAATACATGGCTAAATAAAACCGTATCGAGGAGCACTGCCTTCTGCATTTAAGCCCGGAGCAGTCCGTCACAGAGTCCCAGTCGCGTCAGATGACCCGAGAGGTTGACCGGGATTAGCCCGTTCGCAGGACGACTACAGGAATAATTTCGGTCGACAGAACACCCCACATGTCGGTCGCCTCGTGATATGATATACTATGTTCGCTTATCGGAATCGGCTTTGACGAGGTTCTTGTCATAAGGAAAAGAAATCCTTGACTGTTCCCGGTTCATCAGTACAATATCAGGTTTATACACAAGAATAGAGACAGTTCTATGTGTGGTGAGGATTGCTTGGGCTCAGTAGAGCCTGGTGCGGTCGAGCACGGCTTCCGGCAAGTACTTATAATAAGGCAGTTACCGATCCACGAGACTGTATTTCAGGGCGAACTCCTGGTGTAGGATCCTGGCTACTAGGTTGTATCTATGCCAGCACTCAGAATTAGAAAGTGCCGAACAACCGGAGATGACATGCCTAAATGATTCACCTGGATGGCGACAAGCTCGATAGATGTCGACGGTCTAATGGAAGGCCATTAAGATGTATCTCCGTTAGCTGTTAGTCTTAATAATTATTGAAATTATTATTAATATAAAAATTAAGAGCTCTAACCCTTTCCCTTTTTTATAGTATAGGGTGACAAACGAGCACACAGTCTACCTGATGCTAAGTAGTTGCTGTGACCCATAGACATGTACATACATCTATCCTTAATAAAGAATTAAAATGTAGATGCGTCACCCGTGAGGAATAAGTTGGAATACCTCTTTTCCAGTAAAAAAGGTCTCCGATTCTCTACACTCACCATACGAAACACAGCAGTGTTAAGCTGCTATTTTACGCTGGTATTCTGTGAGAGCGTGGTCCTTCCCCGGTCGAGCCGACCCATTTGTGCTACAACTATACTACTAATATAGCTGCAGCATGGCTTCAACCACGTGAAATCCCTGTCCCATTAACGATGTATGAACATTTCGATTGTTTAACTATTGCGTCTTTTTCGAGAACATGTAAACTGTTAGAAGAGCTAAGAGAATCCACCACGCTTTTATCTATGTTCTGATGAGATATTAGTTTTGTTAGTTAGCCTTTACGGCTTTAAATCTTTATCTGTCTTATCTTATCTATAAAATGAAGTAGTGATAATTATTAAAAAAAATGGAACTAAGGGTAAGATAAGTACATTGCGGGGTCTACGGAGACTGGGCGCAAAGTTTGATGTCGGAACGTAGTTGGTCGCGTTTGTCACTAGCGGGTTAGGATGGATTTTAACGCTAGCGTTAGCATCGCCTTGAAGTATTCGGAAATTGTCAGCAGTTCGCAACCTCTCTGTAAATGTACATATACGTTCGCTGGTATGACTAGGGCCCGTATTAATAAATGTTACTCAACGACGAACTCAATCATTTGATACGGGCTCATAACGATATCAGCATCTCAAGATCATTTCTAATTAATAAAGACATAAAAATAGCATCTCAAAACGCTGTACTTAGGAATACTATTCTGTGACTTGCACTCAAGTACACACACTTGAGTGTCGAGTTTCGTTTATTAATCAGTGTGGCACTCAGCTGATATCGTAAAAATAAACCGGGTCTTGAAATATGTTTATTAATAAGATCACAACCTCAAGATTGTACTCAAGTGCGTGTACTTGAGCTGAGTAATGTTTATTAATACGATTATATATATGTTACTGTAAAAGCCCGAAATTTGGAGAATCTTAGGTTTTACTTTTAATTCCTAGTATTTAACAACAGAAGCTGGTAAATGTAAGGATTGATATAAAATGCGACGATTTTTCGCGCTTTTACCGTTAGAGTTTGGTACATCCTAGGTTTAACCAAAGACTACCAGTAAGTGTTGGTTTTGGAAATGAAACAATATATTTATATAAGTAGAAAGTATTTATTAAACATCAACATCATATTACCTGCATAATTTTAAAATATTTTTATGGTGATTTCTGATAGTAGAATATAGAAAAATAAAGAGGCTTGTTTTTTGAAAGTACAATACAGAAATAAAGAGATGATGTATCGATTCACAACAAATCGATTTATAATATATAGATATTTTTTCACGGACTGGCTCATTGAATATTCTTGGCGAAGAAAAATAAAAATAGCGCATGAAGATGTTTTCGAAGAATTAAAGCAATACGATATGTGTATAAAATTGATTAATAAATTATGTCAAAGAACCGAATTGATTGAACCCGACTCCACCTGGTTCGAGTCTTTCCTACCCCTAGAGAGTTTTTATAGAGCCGGAGGCGCGTAGGGGGAGCAGCCTTCGCCTGCTGTAACAAATCGTAGGTATCGGACGAGCCAGAGCGGCTGAGGCTGGCCGAAGTTACGGAGGCGAGCAGGGATGCCTGCGATTTGTTACGCAAAGGCGTAGAGGCTGCTCTTCCCGCAGCGCCGGAGACGTTGCAGTCCCAAAATAAAAACAGAGGGTGACACAGATAGCGGGGAGGGCTGCACACTGTCCGCAAGTACGATAAAGCGCCGAACACGTCTAGGCATGACTATTTTTCAACATTTACCGTGTTTTAGCGGTAAAACCTAAGATTTACTGAGTGAATGCTTGTAAAAGTCCGAAATAAACGATTACGATAGAACACTTCGGACTTTTACCTTATGGACTTGGTTTTACTGCAAAATCTTAGAATTTACCGTAGTTCTAGCTTTTACAGTAACATGTATATATATACGATTCGGTGACTTATGGAATTAAGAACGCCTCTCACCTTTGACGCTGTTGCCTGTAGACTTACACTACGCAGACCTAAAATACCAACAATAATAAGTCTGACGTGAACGAGATGGTTATACCTCCGTTTGTTAGAAGCTAGAAAATCTTTCAAGCCTATCATATAGTCATGTTTTACGACACCTAAAAGACGAAAGGGAGTGATGGATTTTCTAATGCCACCGGAACACGGTATTGTAGTAGTAGCAGTAGGCTCTTTTTAGTACTTATTAATCTTCAAAACTTGGAGGAGGCAGGGAAGACAAGTCAATTTTTCTAATTAATCTAGATCTACCAATGAGTTTGAGTTTTCATAGGATTAATTGTTAAACAAGTTTGATATACAAGTCAGATCAGCGTAAACAGTGTCAAATTTCCAAGAGAGAATTAAATATAGATTGATAAAGATAAAGAAAATTGCAAACAAGAGAGGAGACAACACGCCACCTTGTAGTATACCAGCCGATGTCGTAATCCAGGTGGAAAAAACATGTTGCAACTGAAGGCGTTGTCAGCGACCAAACAAGTAACTACGAAACTAGTGAACTACAGTTGGAGATATGTTGATAGAGCGTAGGATGCCTAACAAGATATCAAAATAGTATGAAATGCATTACTAAAGTCTATCAACGTAAGAATAGCTTTTGTTTACCCAAGCCATGCTGAATATCATCGGTAATTGTAAAAGTGCCGTAGCCGTACCGGTTTGCAAAGGATTTAAAAGATTATGTTTTAAAAGATAGATGCTTAATAGACTGTGCACTAGGCGTTCTAGAACTTTGGAAAGGAAAGGCAAAATAGAGATCTATCATCAGAAAAACTAGATGGACTAACTTTATCATTTCATCATTGATATTTTTACAATAACAAATTAATAATTCGTAATGTATTGAGCCGTGGTAGCTTACGGTTACTCTCGTGTTTATGAGCTCTCTATAAATTTAATAATACACGAGTAACCCGAGATCAATCCCTGCAGCACCATTTAAATTGGCTGATAACATGGTGATACAACCTGCACGTGTAGAAATTTAAATATTTGGAGGGCATGTGAAGCCCGCTAACATACTAAACGTCACACAGAATACTTACGTCATATGTGTAGTAAATATTGAATCAATTTGCCAAATTATAAAACAATTTTGATAAGAACAAAAATCTTAAAGACAATCAGTAGTAAAACTAACACTTACGTCCTTGAAATTCTCTTTAATTACGTTTCAAAATTATGTAGAGTTGTAGTGTCTGAGGCAAAGGAAATTAAACCATTCGTTCTACACACCTCGGATGTGACGCTACTGCGTGTACAAAAGACAGGAAAAATGACAAAAGCAGTTTCAACAGTTTTATTTTTATTTTCGTGCTGTCATCATGCACTGCAGTTAAACCCTTTGCGTAAGTACAACTTTTAATAATTAATATTTTAAACTGTGCATTTATCTCGGTTTAATGATAATTGTGTGGTAAAATTATTATTTAAATTTATTAAATCAACATTGCACAAAATCAAAGGAAATAAAATATTGTCGTACAGATTTATATAAAATTCCCTAGTATTAAGGCTCCAAAGGCATGAAAAATGTTAATATACCTATGTTATATAATTTTATTCATGATTCGTTTCATAAATGTTATGTTACAAAGCTTAAATAAAAGTTAATAATGACACTTTGTGTATATGTGCTGTGTATTGCTTTTAAAAAATATTAATATTAAAGTCAATATTATTAAAAAAAATTACATATATCACATCTGTTCTTGTTCTGAATAAAACGGAATCTTGTTATGTTACTTGTAAGAGCAAACGTAGTGTTTGCGTTGTGACAGTATATTTCTGACCTTAATTTCTGACTTTACGTTTAAAAACTAGTACACACATATAACAATGTCAAATTATGAGGATAAAGATCAACGTCTAAAAATTTGGGTTAATCGATGTGTTATTATCATCTATAGATGAAAACTATTTGGTGAATAAGTAGAATAGTTACGTAAAAAATTATAAGAAGACTCAACACCACAGTATACATAATAATATATTTAATTATTTAACATTATGTATTTTTGTTACGTACATTCATACCGTGTGATTCCCGATTCACTCACTCGGGGTAAATAGTAAGTAAAGTTTCATACATCCCACTGTTGAGCACAGGCGTAATCTCATTTCTAAGAAGCTTCTTACTTCACTAACACTTTTTACACAGCGTGCTGGCGGACTTCACACGTTTTTGAAAATTAAAATTTTCTACCTCACACAACTTCCTTGTTGATTTGTCTACCATCTGCGATTTTTCCGGACTGATATGACTTAGGGAAATCCATGAAAAGATCCTACTTTTTTAAAGGCCGGCAATGCAATTTCCCTGGTGTTCCATGGTCCTGGTATTGTTCATGGGCGGCGGTAGTAACTTATCATCAAGTGAGCCGCATACTCGTTTACCCCCTCTTATAATTGAAAACATTGGAGAACTAAAGCTACCGCGACTCTTACCAGGCTCTTTAAGCGTAAATACATGGGAATATGTAATAGGTAAATAAATATAAGACCGTTATTGTCTACAACCTTGCTCGCGTATGATCGCCAGTATCATTTAAACCTTAGTCGACGACTAAACATTTTATACGTGGTAAAGGCACTGCACCTATATTATGATTGTGGCACATGGGTTTTCCCGACTGGGGAAGTGCTATATACACCAGCGTAAAATAGTTTAATGATTAATGATGTGTATGGAGTTCGATTTTACTGGTAACGAAGCATTCCGTTCTTAATCTTCGAGGGTGACAGCGCATATCTGCATTTCATTTCTTAATCAACGAATGAGCCACAGTATTCACTTAACATCAGGTGGATTGTCATGTGGTGTGCCCGATTGTCATTCTTATTTTAATGGTCACTGTTATCAGATAGATTGTAATAGAAATCTTATGTGATAATATCTAATATTTATTATTATTTACTCTTGAGAGAGATCTATGATCAGAACTGAACAGTTTACAATCTGTCAGCTAGTTTTGATATTCAAAAATATGATTATCTATTTTATAATAATGTTATGTCATACTTATGACACTGGCCATTGCATCAACTTGTTATTGATTGTTGCCTAACTTAACCTAGTTTTTTGACCCATCGAACATTGTCGAAATCTTTCGTTAAGTTCATCTTCTATATCTTCAATATGATAATAAAACTTGGTGACCTTAAAACTCTAACTGCAAAAAAACGCATGAGCTTTACACGAGAGTAAAAATTATCTTCAAAATATGTTTTTATATAAATTACGTAATTCGTTTTGTCTCATACTTTTCATTTTTTATATACGCGTGATCATACCTTGCCACCGAGTCGTTTGTTTGGCATACGAATCAAATAGGACCGTTGATCTAGTGATCGTAAGTTTTTGCCGATCATGAGGTTCCGGGTTCGATTCCCGGATCGGGTCATATTCAGTTATTTTTCTATTAAGAAGTTCTTAGCAGCGACCCGGAGTCAGGAAATTGGCAGTGTTCACCCCTGTCTCGGAAAGCACGTAAAGCCGTTGTTCCTGAACCTAATCTCTCTCTCTAGTTATAATAAACGTCCCATTAAACTCTGAGAGTGAAGATATAGTTAATGTGCCTGTGTTCGCGTACCTTAGAGCACCATAATCCTATATTTTGCAGATGACTAGTCTTCATTAGGACCTGCGTAATCGAAATTCGATCTGAAGAACATTATTATTATATAATACCACCACCTTCCGGATATCTATCCTTCCGGATGCCCTCAGATCTTTCGAACATTTCCTACAGTTGCCTCTTAGTCTTACGGCGCCCATTAGGTTTTCTAATGCCGTCACACAATAACATTTATACTTACTACGAGTTTTTTTTATAGGATAGGTAAGTGATTATTGTGGCCCATAGACATCTACATCTATCCTCGTTTGCGAATCAAAATACAGATGCGTTGTCAACCATGAGGACCAAGATGGAATGCGTCGTTACCAGTAAAAAGGGTCTCCTGTTCTCTACACTCACCATACGAAACACAGCTGCTTTAAGCTGCTATTTTACGCTAGTATTCTGTGAGAGCGTGGTCCTTCCCCGGTCGAGCCGACCCTACTACAACTATACTATTAATATATGGCATGCATGTAATATATGGCATGCATGTGTATTAATATATGCAGCATGGCTCTACCACGTTGAAAACTGCACTCTCTATTTATCTACCAACTTCAAAAAGGAGACGGTTCTCAATTCGATTGTATGTTCTTTTTTTATTTATGTTACCTCATAACTTTTACTGGGTGAAACAATTTCAATGATTCTTTTTTTATTTCAAAGCTGATGCTTCTCGTGTGGTCGCGTATAAATTGATGAAGGTTTGACCAATAGTTTTTGAATTATTCTGAATAATTTATATTGAAGTCGGTTGTACAAAATGTTTAATTTTAAATTGTTTTCCGTAATCTCTTTATTCTTTTCTTAAGTACTTTTAGTTTTAGTTTTTTAATTATCGTTATTATTATATACCTTACGTAATTTTCTATGTTGAAATACATATCTATACAAATAAATGAAATGGAAGTGTCTGCCAGTATATCGAAATAACTGGCTTATATTGAGCTAAGGGGTCATACGCATGCCATTAAGATATGAAAAACCATTTTTAAAATTTTTGTATGTCTGTCCGGTCTATTCTTCGGAATGGCTGCACCGATTGTGAAACTTCACGAACAGATAGAAAGCAATGCCCAAAGCTTTTTTGAAAAACGGAAAATGGATAAAAGAAATGTTGATATACCTACTTCTTAAATCTAAATAAGCAATAGATCTTACCCAGGTGAAACTGGAGCTGATCACTAGTCTATATTCTATACAAATAAATAAAACTGAAGTGCTGTTTATAATGTCAAAATAACAGTTTTTTACTAAAGTATATACTGTACTTATAACAAAAACACAATTTTTAATATTTTTGTCTGTCTGTCTATCTGTCCGTCTGTCTGTCTGTTTGTTCCGGCTAATCTTCGAAACCGCTGGACCGATTTTGACAGGACTTTCACTGGCAGATAGCTGTTAAAAGGAGTAACTTAGGCTACTTTTATTTTAGAAAAAGATTTAGGGTTCCGCGTAAAAAAAATTAAAATCAAAGTACACGCGAGTGTAGTCACGGGGTACAGCTAGTTACTAATAAGATTGTAACATAAAGCTCGAAATAAAACACAGTATGTCGCTTTTTACCAGTTATTTCCTTTTACAGGAAATAAAGTAAAATAAACATAAAAGCTACATCCCACTGCTGGTTGGCTGATTCACATGTCTTTGAAATATTTTATTTCTTCGCCATCGAGCACGTGTTAATCACCATTTATACTGCAATTAACAATATCATTGGTGCCGTTGGGGCTCGAACCCGGGCTGTTCGAGTACTGTAAAATTTACGGCGAGCGGTTAGCCTCTGAGCTTACAGGGGTCCGTACTCCCTATGTCAAAATCTACCATAGGTGCTGTGATAGATTTTGACGTTAAAATAAGTCACAAAAACACAAATTGATGCGACAGTAGCCTAATGGCATGGTGCGGACCGCGAACTCAAAAGGTCGTGGGTTCGAATCCGCTACTTGACTACTGTCGTGAACAACCACTAACACAAGCATTCTAAGCTTACCAGGAGTGATTAAAGGGAATATTAGCATTGCTAGTATTTTTTTAAGAAAAAAGTTTTGACTTTTACTACACAATAAATAACTTTTACTTTAATAAATCTCCAACAGCCGACTTCATACACCCGTGCGACGATCTAAATGACGAGTGCTTGACAAAAGCCGTCTTGGATGCTATACCGGGTGTAGTGAAAGGTATCCCCGAGGCCGAAATCCCGCCTTTGGATCCCCTGTACTTAGATCGGAACATCACTATGGACCTTCCCGGAAACGTGAAGATGACATTCCACAACGGAAAGCTCACTGGTTTAAGCACATGTATTCCTAACAAAGTATCGTAAGTATTATTATTTAACTTGTTTAATTAGAATGTAGATCATACCTTGCTGCTTATTTCTTTCTTACGCGTTCTGAACTCAAGGTTCATAACGCGGAAAACAATCATTATCATCATTATTTCATAGTCTTACGATATCCTCGGTATGTTATGAGACGTTGGATTATCTTTCGCTGTCACCACACTTTATTCATCAATTTAATTCATCATCATCATCATCATCATTACAGCCCTTCACAAGTCCACTGCTGAACATAGGCCTCCCCCAAAGAATACCACAAAGCACGGTCCTGAGCCACCTGCATCCATCGACTTCCTGCATGTCTTACCAGGTCGTCACTCCATCTCGTGGGGGGACGCCCTACACTTCGCCTACCGGTACGAGGCTGCCACTCGAGAACCTTTCTTCCCCATCGGTTGTCGGTTCTTCGAGCTATATGACCGGCCCATTGCCACTTCAGCTTACTAATCCGTTGGGCTATGTCGGTTACTCTGGTTCTACGACGGATATCCTCATTACTAAGTTTATCACGCAGAGAAACTCCGAGCATAGCCCTCTCCATAGCTCGCTGAGCGACCTTGAGCTTCCTCATCCGGCCAGCAGTGAAGGACCACGTCTCAGTTCCGTATGTCATCACTGGCAACACGCACTGGGTGTACAGTCTCGTTTTCAAGGTTTGAGGTATACCTGACGAGAAGATTCAATTTAATTACATATATTTAATATTGTACAAAAACTTTTATTAAACAAAAACTGTATAAAAAGGGTTATTATAACATTAATGAAAACATGGTTGATAATAACCCCTGGGAATAAGGTGGTCGTTTCTAAGCTGTTTCTTAAATAAGTTATGTAAATAGTATGTACAACCTTTCTTATTGTATAAATTACTTTGAAAAAAAATATCCGATTGGGTTTCATGCTCTTTCTACCTATGATAGAGGTTTTTCTTTCCCAACCAGTTGTAAAAGTAGAAAAAAATACTTTCGATAAGAATTACTTGTAAATTACATATTGAATCATATATTGAATAAAAAATATTCTATTTCATTCCATATAAAAAAGCAAAACTAGGACTGGTACCGTGTTAAGATTTTCTAGAACATTGCCCGATGTAACGTCGCCGTGTCGAGGCTAAGCATTGAAATACGTGCCGGAAGGTTACGTGGACACGCTAATATTGAAGTATTACCAAATAGAGCTGACGTCTCTAAATATGGAATTTAAGAAGTCTTTTAACATTTTCTCAAGGGATCATTATTAAACATTCCAAGTAAATGAACTAAACTATCACATAAGTGTATGCTTTATTCATTAAAAAACACTCTAGTAAAATAATAAATATATATGGACTAAGTATAAATTTATCAGTAAGTTAAAGCGGCAGTTAGCTGATAGTTCAAAGAACCGATAGCCTATAGTGAAGACAGGTTCTTGAGTGGTAGCTAGGTAAGCCAGTGCATGGCGGCATTTCACTAAATGGAGAGACGATCTCATTTGACATGCAGTATATCGATCGATGCAGGCGGCTCAGAAATGTTTTGTGGAATTCCTTAAATGAGGCCTAACATATATGTGACATATACAGCCCGTAATGATGTTGATGATGATTAATCGATCGTATCACTTTGAATAACATTGTTTAGATGAAGAATATGAATTCCATCTCAAAAGGTGGATATCGCCAAAGTCGAAAATCATCAAAATACGCCTGGCCAGGGTGAAGAATTTGGTGAATCCTGCCAAACTATACATTCACTGACTGATTTTAAGATAGGATCGTAAGACAATACGTTCTAGAATCAATTAATGCTAATACTCATAGGAATATGAGCATTAATTGATTTTAGAACATATTACAGGGTGTCAATTGACATTTTATAGATTAAGAGTGACAAACGAGCACACAGTCCATCTGATGGTAAGTGGTTGCTGTGGCCCATAGACATCTACATCTATCATCGTCTGCTAATTAAAATATAGATGCGTTGTCAGCCGTGAGGACTAAGATAGAATGCCTCTTTTCCAGTAAAAAGGGTCGCCGGTTCTCTACACTCACCATACAAAACACAGCAGTATAAAGCTGCTAATCTTGAATTACAGATGAGAAAATTGATTATCCAAGATCCGCGATGGCTGTATTAAATATCTTATCATTAAGCGTTAAGCCATCGTAGAGTCTATTTCTACTGTTGATGTCTCGTTTAGTAGCGAAACACGTATCGTATTATCAACGTTAGTGTGTATTTCGTGTGTTAGATGTTGGGTTTTTTTTTCGTACGAGCAGCTGCGATAAGATCTATAGTGATCGCTGCTATGGCTATAGTTCACGGCTAAGCCCTATGTCTTCAATGAATTGGAGGAGTTGCTTAACTGTGAGCAATTTCACTTCTTTTAAGCTAAGTACGTAGTTTCCCAGATGAGTGTTACGTTTGCGCATTAAGGGTCTACAAGCAATTAGCATGTGCAGAAGTGTTTCTTCCATTAAGAAACAGAATCGGCACATCCTTGAGTACGTTAGGATTAGTAGTGCCAGTGATGATGCACGCGACTGTGGGTGAGAGTAAGGTGCTTTTCAATCTGGGTATTTTTACACATGATTTGATTTTTCCAGTTAGATAATATTACTGTAGGGGACTGCAGTGGACTGTATGATTTTATTAACTAACTGTGTGACGACTGATTCTATGTAGGGACCAGGGACGGTCGAAGAAAAGATGGTACTGTAGACGATTATGTACTGCACTATTTTTACAAGCGGCAGATAATTATATATATATATATATATATATATATATATAATGCACAGAGGGGAATCTTTAATGGAGTATTAATTTGCTCTTCTCTCTTGATTTCTGTCTTGAGGCTTTCTTTCTTCTCTCATGCTGTTGTATCTTCGAGTGCCGCCCCTCCTATATATAATGTACTCTGTGAGTGCCGCTTCCAAAATGAACAGCTCACAGCCCAAAACGCCCTTCTTATGTTTTATTTTTATAGGATCGGGTGACAAACGAGCACACAGTCCACCTGATGGTAAGTGGTTACTGTGACCCATAGACATCTACATCTATCCTCAAAAAAGACTCAAGATGCAGATGCATTGTCACCCGTGAGGACTAAGATGGAATGCCTCTTTGCCAGTAAAAAGGGTCTCCGGTTCTCTACACTCACCATACGAAACACAGCAGCGTTAAGCTGCTATTTTACGTTGGTTTTCTGTGAGAGCGTGGTCCTTCCCCGGTCGAGCCGATCCATTCGTGCTACAACCATAATATAGCTGCAGCATAGCTCTACCACGTAAAAAGAGTGTCTCGGTACGTGAGTGGTATTATAAGATGTGCCGCGCGCTGATTGGACAGTGACATCGTGTGATCTGCTGCCGGTGTGCGGGGTGTGCGGGGCGCAACGGGGTATGAAGGGGCGACGGGGCGGCAACTCCCCTCGCCGTCCGTAACAATTACCGTAGTTAATTATATTTTTCATCTTCTTTAGTTTCATAAAATTCTCTGACATACCTCCTGATTAGCTAATCTTGAAAACAATAATGTTTATAATGTTGTGACAGATTATTTAAGATAATAATGCGTAATTTACATCTATACAGGATATATAATTCTTATACAAAGGCACTTACTCCAACCTAAAAATACTTGTTTTGATATAAATGTTTGTTTTCGCACAAATGGGTGGCTCCACTAAACTACAAGATCGTCTGTGTTTTATGCATGAGTTTGTTAAACATAATGTTTAATTCTTCAATAACCAATCTTTATATTTCCCGCAATAAATAGTTTTTATTAAGTATATAAATTTATCTATTACATTAGCATCAATATCATCTAATACATTATAATCAATTTGTTATGTTTTACACAGCTCTATTCGTGAGACACGCACTTTCGTGTTCGACATCCGATGCAACTTCACTATCAGAGGCCACTACAGTATTGTCGGAAGGATCCTGCTCTTCAACCTCGATACTGATGGGCACGCTAAGATTAAAATTTGTAAGTTCATGGTTAACTACATCAATCAATGACTAAGCTAATTCGCCGTGTGGTGACGTAATAAAAACCATCATCTCATTTCGGTCTGTGTGTGCAGTAATATTCAACTAGGGAAATGCCATGTAATTTTTAGAAATTAGCTTAATAAACCATTATTAACATGATAATTGCCAATTTACGCTATAAATATCGATGTTAAGTATTCATTTAAATTTTTTATGCAAGTAACTGTAGTCTAAATAAATAACCTTTTTACACAAGTAATGCCGTAAAGTGGCGGCTTAAAAAAATCCACTACCCCAATTATCCCGTGGATTTCGTAAAGAGCGACAGAGGAAAACTGAAACAGGAGATGAGCAGCAGCCATTGAGTTATATGTACTACGTACTAGAGAAGCCATTCTAAACAAAAAATGTGCACTACTCTATGTCTTCGCGCATGCGCGGGAGATAGGGAGTTTTGGCGGGTACTTGACCGGCGGCGGTTTGCTGCTCCTGTATTATTGTTTAAATAATGGTTTGAAGTGGACTTTGATATGTAAAAGTGGTGCGATTTTGTGTATTAAGTATCTGCGCATGTGAACTATTAGTGGAAACTGTGTAACAAGTGCTCTGATGGTGACGTGATTTTCAAAATAAGGTGTCTGTCTGCTTGGGCGCCTTGAAATACCATCGCCAACCGTCATCTGTCTGCTGGCTCAAGTTGCCGTCAAAATCTCCCAAGGGCTGCACAATGTGACGCATCAACATATTGTAAAGCAGTATACTATGAAGGATAATTATTATAATATATTGTAACTTCAGGCTCAGAAGGGCTAGATCCCAGAGCCGTAAAGCCAGTTATTAAGGAGAAGAAAGCGCAGTTGATTGAAGCGCGTTGCGCTTGCGCGGTCAGTTTTTAATTTAAAATTTAATTTAAAATCTTGTATTATTAGCGCCGCTCCACACTGCATGTATATTGAAATCACATACTAACTAGTAGATTGAAACCACACTCAATGTCACACTGTACGGATTGCAGTACAGTTCAGTTCAACATAGTGTATGTTCGGAATGCGAAATCTAGTGCGTAGTACATATATATCGATGGCAGCAGCATATTTTCGATAATAACTCAAATTTTAAAAAATCTACCGTTGCCAACCTGCTTGCCAAGCGTGACATCTATAACCCAATTTATGTGAGCTAATTTATTAGGCTTTAAATATGATGATACTTATCTTCACGCACAATCCCTGACGGGGTAGCCAGAGAGAACAGATCGCCAAGTGTCACGATCCTTACAAACCTCTTTCGCTTCTTTCAGATTCATTATCTTCTTCATGCATGCACGTCTAGGTATCCGAGTACTCTTGACCCTACCCTCTTCGAGCAATTTGCTCACATGGTCTTCGAAAGTTAGTCTCGGTCTACCTCGACATCTTTTAATATTAACTTTCGCGCTATATATTTTCTTCACCATTCGGTCTTCACTCATTCGCTCAACGTGCCCAAACCACCGAAGCACGCCCTTATCAATTTTTGTGATAAGGTCATCTTTCAAACCTGCCATATTGCGAATCTCTTCGTTTCGCTTTCGGTCGGCCATGGTAACGCCGCACATTTTACGAAGAGATCGCATCTCCACTGCATTCAACTTACTTTTATGCTTCTTCTGGCATACCCAGGTTTCGCTGCCATATAACAAAGTCGGTACCAACACTGCGTTATGTATTGCATGGCGTGCACTCTTCGCTACGCCTTGCCTTTTGACTAACGCAGTCAGGGCACCATTGACTTTGTTCCCGGCAGCGACACGCCTGTCCACATCTAAATCACATCTTCCATCCCGGCTAAAAGTACTCCCCAAGTATACAATTTCATTTACCTGTTCTAGACATTCCTGATTTACCCATATTTCACACTTCGTTCTCTCTTCGTCCCTTTCAAATACCAGAACCTCAGTTTTATTAGCATTCAAACGGAGACCTTTAATTTCACATTCCTCTTTCATACACGTGACTAATGCCTGCAGTTCTGCCTCTGATGGTGCAATAAGCACTGCATCATCAGCATACAGCAGACAATTTACTTTAATGTCACCCAATTTCACACCCAAACAACTATCTTTCAGCTTCTGTAAACAGCTGTCGAGATACAGTATGAACAGCCAGGAAGACATGACATAACCCTGCTTTACACCCGTTTGGACGTTAAACATGGGTGACAGGTCATGTCCTACCCGCACACAGGCTTTACAGTCACAGTAAAGAGACTGCACAGCCCTTAGCAATCGACCATCCACACCATACCCCGGCAACAGTTCCCACATTTTCTTCCTTACAACCTTATCAAATGCTTTCTCAAGATCCACAAAAGCACAGAAAATCTTCTGGTTAGCAGCCAGGAGCTTCTCCGTGATCATGCGGAGAGAAAACATTTGATCCGTGCATCCTCTTCCAGGTCTAAATCCGCATTGTGCCTCCCATAGAAATCTTTCCGATTTCTCTTGCATCCTACGTGTCAAAACCTTCGAGTAAACTTTACTTGCTAAACTGGTCAAGCTGATCGCCCGATAGCACCCGCAGTCAAAATGTGAACCTTTACCTTTATATAAAGGCACAATGACTGCGGATCGCCAATCATCCGGGACATCCCCCGTCCGCCAGCACAAATTGCACAGCAGATGAAAGCTGTCCCAGACGCGAGGCCCACCATACTTGACCATTTCAGCAGTAACTCTAACTCTAAATATGATGATGATGATGGAATAAAGGTAATAACGTAGACGCAGTCCACCTGATGGTTTATAAGGCTTCGACCTATGCGTTGTCGCTCCGAGGACTTAAATCGAATTTCTCGTTACCAGAGAAATGAATTTTTAGTTCTCATCACTAACCATAGGAAACACAGCAGCTTTAAGCCGCTATTTTACGCTGCTATTCCGTAAGAGCGTGGGCCATTCCCAATTGAGTCGATTAAAGCTGTAACGTGCTTATACCACGTAAAATATTTGTATATTGCTTATTGCTAATTGTTATAATATTTTACTACAGTTGAAAATAACAATACAATTTTAATGCCTCAAGCAACTTAATTTAACGTTCAAGTGCAATTTGGAATCACTGCCCCTTTGTATTCATAATAGGGCTAATTACACTACCTCCTATCACATCACGCGATCGTGTAATTGAGTAGCGAGCATCAATCTAATGGTCCGTTTTAAAATTTATTCTTATTTCAGTGCAATTAGAGTTTAAATTTCTTAAAATTTATCCCTTGTTAATCATCGCGCTTTGCGGGCGTCAAAGACGCTGCTGTCCGTCACCCGTGGCTAATTTACATCTGACTTCAACGATTTGAAACAAATTATTGTTATTCCACCTATTGGGAACCGTAAGATTTTTTATTTTTTCTTACGACACCCACGGGACATAATGGAGTGATCGATTCTTTTACCACTCCATTAGGTAAAGACTGTTAATCTGACCTTATTATATTTTAAAGTGGTCTCTTCCGAGTGCTTACAACAGTAGTAGGTGACGAGCAGTGAATGCAAATTAAACAGACGAGTTATTTTGTACAAATTAAAACAAACATTTGATGGCAAACATTATTTAAGGCGTAGTCTTTATGATGGAAATTATCAAAATTATCAACTGAGCATAACTCTAGCAGTGCCACAAGTGCAAACACCTAGGCACTTACTTGTCCTAACCTGTCCATTTCTGATCCAAGGCTTATGCGACAAAATCGAAGTTAGCCTCGAATGCAATATCAGAGACACGGGAACAATCTCAACGCGTTCCGATCAAATCAATTAAACTATAGCGGTGCTGTCATCAAGCCACAATAGTATAAACGAACCGAATTTTATTTGCAATTACCAGTCCGTACTGGTTTACATAATGATTTCTTATATTTACGCGAACACTACACATTTTTAAATAAAACTAATTTTACCCGTGACCACGGGTGAAAGCACCCGAAACGTCGGGAATATAAAAATAAGTTAATATACGCGATAAAATCCGTAAATTTAGTTTTATTTAAAAATAAACGAACCGAACAACAATCAACGCCTTAATCACGCTTTCGAAGTTTTCAAACGACCCTGCATATACACTATATAGGGTTATTTTGATATAACCGGTCAAATTTGCAGAGAAGGTTCAGAATAAGTGTTACAGCCCGCATCTGCCCCTACAAAGGTCGCCTTGGCTGGGGCCCATAGCAGCCTCCACGACGGGCAGACGCGGGTCGGGCCCAAATGGCCATATGGAAAAATATCTTATCATACTAAACTGTAGGGAGAAGGCTAGAAAAATATAGTACGTACCTGTATCCGAATCTAAGACCGCCCCAAGGCTCGGTCAAGCCGTAGGTGGGTGTAAGGTGCATGGAAAGTAGTGTTTAGTGATGTGTATGTGTCTGAGACCTGGCCCAGCTGAGGTGACCGGCAGCGGCCGATTTCCATGCTGCCCCACAATGCTGCATTACTCCAGCAGGCTTCCCCGCTGGACCATTTCTTTCTTCATGTCACTATTTCAGTCTATTAACGTCATTGTACATTTAACTAACTGAAACTCGCCTAATTCCACATTCATCGTAGAATCGAACACGTGATACCAAGAATGATGTCAAGAACTTAAACCCTAGACAACCTAAAACGAGGCAGTTTTCACGAAACACAATTACGTAGCCAAGTCACGCGCACACATTCTAAAAATCGAGACCGTAACCCCAAAATCGGTCGCGCGAAACCTTGACAGCGGCAACCGAGGTATACTAATTAACTGCACGGCTGCCAGCGAGCTACTCTTTTCAGCCAGCGCGTTGAGCGACTGCCCACGGCACGCGGCCGCCTCCCCCCGCCGTCGGCATCACCTCACCTCGACACCATCGGGTGATTCGACAAAGTCGAAGGTGATTGGGTGCCGTCTCAAAATGCCCATTTTTGGGCATAAACAATAAGTAATATAGGTGAAGAAAAATTAATTTAAAAAATCTCAAGCATTCTGTCCTTTTTAACTTTTAAATTCAAAATGCGATGTAATTTTCATTTTTTATTCTCATGTTCAATATTTTAACTGATTTTACTGCGCACGCACATATTCGTAAGTGTCGATCGGCAGGCTAAGACGTTGTTACCCATAAATAAAAAAAAAATCACATTCAATTTGGGATAATTTCAAATAAAAGTAGAAGCCTTGTTTATTCTCGTATATATTTATTCAAAAACTGCAATAACGGAATATCATTATTTATATATTTAAACTTAATTTCAAAGTTTAGGTACTATTTGAAAAATAACCCTGTATTATAGAATCCGCCAAAATAAACAAAATAAATTACTCAACGGGATCCTTACCCAACGGGATCTCCCTTCTATTTTCTGATTTAAGAAATTTATTTCTCATAAGAATAAAACATTCATTTATCTGAGAAACACAAGATTGACTTAAAAAAGATACGTATGTTTACATCTTTTCGTTTTTAGTAACATTTTGCTGTCTAGTTATAATGCAACAACACTTGATTATAAGAAGCATTTCTTTTTAAAAATACTGTGTATTCATTTATTCTTTACATCTTATCAAAAGTGCACTGCTGAATATAAGCCTTCCCCATACATTACATCATAAAGGGTAGCCTCATCCTGTAAGTAAGTGTGTCTCTTTTATTCCGTGGATGTTGTCAAAGGAAAATGTAACAGGAGGACAGCATCATCTTTCTAATAACAACTTATAAATCATATAAACTGATGTATCAGATGTAACAATAAACTGTTTACGTGCTGATGAGAAATATGATAATGAGGTGGATAGAGGATGAAGACGGTAAATAAAAGGCCCAAATTTAGATGGACATTTATTATAATCATTTGTATGACTGAAATATATCATGTAATATTATTATGACTCGTTGGCAGGGAACCAGCACATCCACCTAGAAGTCCTGGAGAAAGTTGTGATGAACGACAAAGGCGAAGGACACTACAAGATCAACTCCTACAAATACAATGCTGACTACGGAACAGACCTGAAAATGAATTTGACAAATCTTTTTAGAGGGAGCCCAGAAATCAGTACGTAAAACAACTTTCAGTAAATAATATTTTTTAAGTGAAAACTTCTTTATGTTCGTTGTGATTTGAAATCCGATGAAACGAAAAAGAGACAAACATACAAATCTATAGGAATTAGCCTGCGAGAGAATGACATAAAATACGTATACAGTGTTTTCTATTATCTTTAATAAAATATAACATATAATGTATATTATAATTTTTAACACGTTCGCGCGCAGTATTCGTCCCTGAATTCTCATAAAAATACACAAAATTTTCCATACAAATTTTGGATCTATATATATATATCTTGGATTTAGCTATGTACAGTCACACTACTTATCGACCCGCCCAAGCAACAAGGCCATTACAGGTATAACCGTAGTAGAATCCCTTTTAGGAACAGTTGTAGGAACAGTTTCCTTTGGTTGTTCTTGTAGTTCTAACTCTTCAATATCTGGGTAATAGTCATTATCCGGCCCATATTCGTCGTCTGCGTCATTGTACGGATCACTTTCTTCATTCCATGATGATTCAGGGGTATATATAAAAGATGTATCTTCTAAACGCTATCGCAGTCGCTCTACGCCCTTCTCCCATCTCATCTTCAACCGGAAAATTAGACAGAAATTAGTAACGATAAATAGCGTGCTATCCTGCGAATTGCAGTTTATTAGTGAAAAATGAGCACAGTATTGTTTTTTCAACTTGCTTTCCTGTGCAACAAATCGAAAATAATATCTTCGAACCGGGAGCGCGATGTTTTTTGGCGCGAAACCTGATGTTCACACTATCACCGTCGATCACGGCACTCACAGGTCACACCGCAGGCGTTCATACATTTGCAACGGGATAATATGCCGTACTGTCAATTTTATATTATGCTAAACTTGTGCTTTTGCGACCTTCGAAAATGAAAAATTTTTTCGGTAGTGTGTGTGACAGTCGGATTTTATTAGCTGAGCTACTCGAAACGACACAAATTCTGTCCTATACGGCAGTCTCGTACACTTTGCACGGCGATCACCGTAGCGACTTTTAAAGCAAATTTGGTGATCATCGTAGTGTCACATTGAATGAGCTCGGTTTGTCAGGTTATCCCGTTACCACGCGCGAACGTGCTAACTTCGTAAAAAATATTAAATAAAAAATATTATAATAAATAAACCTTACAATTATCCTATTCCTGATACTCTGCATTCGTCTTATTCTCTCAAGTTTAGTATTCTGAAGATTTCACTTCTACCGCAGGTGAACAGCATATGTTTTCTATGTCCATAAAAATAAAACCTAAAATACAAAACCGAGAGACATTCCAGTATATATAATATAAAGGGTGATGAATTATAATTTTCCTTATTTCATCCTATCAAGGGTCCACTTCTGAATTTAGGTCCATAGATTGCCTCATATATAATATAGATATTTGGTACTTGCCATAGTTGCCACGCTTAGCAGGCTGATTGAGAACCGCAGTTTTATTATTACTATTCAGGAAGTCGCTGCTGTTTCCCTCTATCGCTTCTTACGTCACCCGTCAGATGATATAGGTTAGTGTATTCTCTTACGGCGTCACTATATGGCAAAAAATACCAGCAGACACTGGAATATACCAATTCACAATACTTCTCTAAGGCCCGTATTAATAAACGTTACTCAGCTCAAGTACACGCACTTGAGTACAATCTTGAGGTTATGATCTTATTAATAAACATATCTCAAGATGCGGTTTAGGTTTACGATATCAGCTGATTAATAAACGATACTCGACTCTCAAGTGTGTGTACTTGAGTGCAAGTCACACAACAGTATTCCTAAGTACAGCGTTTTGAGATACTGTTTTTAATGTGTTTATCAATTAGCAACGATCTTGAGATGCTGATATCGTAATAAATAAATCAAATGATTACGCACTTAAGTTCGTAACTTTTTTTTTACGTAACTTTTATTAAATACGGGCCTAAATCTCAACGTCATATGCAAGCAATTCGCCCACCCACTGAAACTCGGCCGACAAACTAATGGCGGAAAATCCATTGAAAAAGTTTTAACCCGAGTTCCACAGACTTGTGTAAGGAAGCAGCAACACCAATGCAAAGGTCTACTCTGCGCTCGCAATTTCACTTGCCCAGTGAGTTGAGTATGGACAAGTTTTAAGGAAATTTGTATTAGCTGGCGCTATCTTGATAAGACCTATGCCTTACAACGGTATTTAAAAGGTTGTTTATAATTCAAAAATGTTCATAACATTTTAATATAACTTTTATTTAAGAAAAGTATTAATATTATTAATTATTTTAAAAATTTAAAAATATTTGCATAGATAAGGTAAGACGTTTGTTGTCTGTATTAAAATGAAACTTTCAATTTAGGTGCAAATGTACTAAACGTGCTGAATTCCAACTCACAACTCGTCGCGCAAGAGTTCGGGGGTCCAATCCTCAACTATGCTATAGACTATGCAATGAACGTTACTCAACGTTTCTTCGACACCTACACATACGATCAGCTCACCCACGTTGCGCTCACCGAAGATTTCTTTGAAGATAATTAATTATAATTTATTTATATGGTTATAGCTTTTATAGTATTAAGGCGGAAGATTTAACAATAAGACAGACTGTGAAAATAATATTAATATCAAAGTTGGACGTAGTTATCCAAAAACGTTCCAACCAACAACTCATTCAAAAATGAGTTAAATAAGTAGATCTGTATATTTAACTCATTTTTGATTGTCACTCCCATGAATGACTTGACATTGGCAGAACTCTTTTAATAGAAGCCAAAAAGTAAAGAAGAAGAACTCATTTTTGAAAGACTTATGGGTTGGAACGGTTTTGACGTCCAGTTGTGAAATGAGGCCACGTTATCAGAAATAGGTTCTAAGATAGCTAACCACTAAGTAGAGTACTAATAAGTAGGTACAAGTAGGCGATGTCCTTGTAATGTAACCAAGTTACTTATACCTGTATAATTTTGTTTTAAAAAGGACTTGTAAAATTGCATAACCTAATGTCACATTTACTAAACATTCAATTCAGTTTAGTTTTGTTAAAACTAAAGTTGCACATTTTTCCTAGCTTGATGCATTTGTATTTTTATACTAATAAAAGTGACAAGCAAGTACTATATACAGTACCTACTGTGTGGTAAGTAATTGCTGCGTTCCAGTGACATGTACTTGTATATTGCAAAATTTCTGAAGCATACATTACTATTATGTACGTCGAGAATTAACGGTGTCGAAAGCCTAGTCGACACTCGAGATTTGTGTGAAAGTACAAAAGCGCTGTAAGCGCTTTTAAACGTTATTGTTAAGGTAAATGGGCCCATCCTGCACCATTACTTGAGTGTAAAAATAAAATTAACCGAGGTTGCAAAATTAAGTCAGTATTTATGAGTCTCATTGACACAGATTATAAGTGATTATTCGCGACGTGCTATGAGTTCCGTCAAGCGTTGACGCGTATAAAAATACTGGCTTCTGATAATGTTACAACTGGCTAACAGATAATAGTATTAAAAATTAAAAATGTGAAAATGAAATACTGTTTTATCCTTCTCCATAATTAAGGTCATCAGATTGTAGCAGCTTATTGCTGGACATAGGTTTCTTTCAAGTGTAAAGTACATTAGACTATAACACATTTAATGATATAAAATAAAATGTATTTATGTTTTCGACATCTCAAATAAAAAAAATAAAAAACGGCGCTCTGCGTACGTTTCGAGTGACGCAAATATTAACCAAAAACCATACTCAACTTAACTTTAAGAACACGGGGAGTGCTCTGAGGAATTATTCGGATTAATTCCAGCCGTCAAATTTCACGAAATCATATCGCGTTAACTCACGGTACTATCCACACCATCTGGATGCTTGACGGTCCACCACTGTGTGTTTTACTAGGAGTTTTCTTCCTCGTACAACCTCTCTGTGGTATTATTTACCACCAGCAATTTTCCCGGACCGATACGACTTAGGGACATTCAAGAAAAGAGGTTACTCTTTTCTAAAAGTCCGGCAACGCACTTGCAATTCCCCTGGTGTTGCAATTGGCGACACCAGGGGATTGCAATTCATGGGCGGCGGTAGTCACTTATCGTCAAGTGAGCCGCATGCGCGTTTGTCCCCTTTTCTATAAAAAAAAAACCACGCACTCACGTTCATCTAAAATAATTTGTAATCAAGAACATGGCTGTATGTATTATGTACTTTCATCAATACACTTTTACGGGCTGTTTAAGAAAAATGTTTGTGTGAGTGCGTGTCAAGAAGTTGAGAATACGTTTTTACGTCAATTGAAATGTACGTATCGCTCCGTTTATTTTTATTTTTTGAACTTAGTTCAACGTAATAAAATAAAATTTATTTTGTCAAATGTTATTTTTTCCAAATCTTACTAACTCAATGTTACATATTACTTCAATGGTAGTAACCAATGTAATACGTACTAGAAGAGACGACAATACTTTGTCGTTCTTAGTGCCAAATGAAGGTATTCTGTGGCGGCTACCACGTGCCGCGCACTGCCGCACGGATTTTGTTTGCTTTGTCTGTTCTAGGACGTAGTACATATAAGTTCATTGCCCACTACTAGCAATCAAACACATGGATATTAAATCAATAAATCGCCAATTTTACTGGCCGAAAAACTGTCCCATTGCCAGACATCGTAATTAATTAGATGACGCTCTATGTCACCAGTGCTCTTGTTTTTTATCAAGTTTTCTCTTATTTCTCATACGTGGTAAAACATCGTTCAACAGTATCATATCTAGATTTCCTTTTTATATATATATTTTTTTTTCATAGTTGGTACCAGCGGGAATCTAACTAGTTTTGGTCGTATACTATGATAGTTGGGTGTAGGCAATTTAACTAAAAAAAAATTCAAATAAAATAAGAATTAAGTTATTAGCAAGCAATCAGTATTCAATTTCAAATGTGATTAAGTTTAAAAATAAAAACAAAACAAAGAAAAAATATTATAATAAAAACCGGTTCTAAGATTGTATTTAAACGTTATCTTAATTAATTATAAGTTTGTTAATAATTATTGTAGATGTATAGATATATAAATACGGTAATGTGATACAAATAAAAATTTATGTTTGTTTTGTATAAATTTCATTTACAATTATCTACAATTTACTTTATAAGCTCTTGAACTATACCTTAGAATAATATAATAAAATAGACTACAGATAATAGCAATAACTGTGCTAGTTATTGCTATCATCTGTGGTCCAAATTACTATTATATTCTTTAACATTAGACCGTTGTTCTCTCTCCCTTTATTGACGGGCGAGACAGTAACAATCCAAAAACAGTCGAATATAACAAATACTAATTATCAACGGCTCAGTGGCGTAGCGGCGATGAGTTCCAGCACAAAGCGTCGCGGGTTCGAATGCCACACGGAACATGTATTTGTATGTCCTACAATCAATTGCTCCAGGTTTGGTTGACCTTGTGCAAAACTTTGTAAACTGCCTCCACGACATATAAGTATGTCCTCCTGTCCCAGAAATTTATGGAATGGCTTACCCTGTGTTGAAACATCCATCACTGTGTTCACCAACTCGCCTGCCCAGCGTGACGTTTATCGGCAAAATCTTTTCTTGATGGAGCCCTACGTCCATCAGTGGACGTCCAGTCAGATGGATAGTGTAAGGTATAATATAGTGCAACATTATGGTTGTAGCACGAATGGGTCGGCTCGACCGGGGAAGAACCACGCTCTCACAGAATACCAGCGTAAAATAGCAGCTCATTGCTTCTGTTTCATATGGATAGAGAACCGGAGACCCCTTTCACTGGAAACGAGGCATTCCATCTTAGTACTCAGGGGTGGCAACGCATCTGAGTTTTGATTCTTAATCGAGGATAGATGTAGATGTAGATGGGCCACAGGATCTACTTACCATCAGGTGGAGTGTGTGCTCATTTACAACCCTAATTCTATATAAAAAAAAGGATTTTTATCCACTACATTTTTATTTAAATCAATTACTTCATAATAATACGCAAAAACGTTTCAAATAACTTTTTGTCCACCGAATGTCGCACACTTACTTCGTGCTGGACAAATTACGAGTATATTTCTGAGAGCATTACGCTCCTCCATCGTATTGACGTAGGTATTTCAGATCTCCTCAAATTTATGTTTGGATTCTCAGACATATTTTCCTCACGATGTGTTTCTTAGAACGTAGTGAATCACCACTTAATACTACAATCGACACAATTATTGTAATATCGGTGTCGGTGGGAATCGAACTTTTTGTCCACCGAATGTCGCACACTTACTTCGTGCTGGACAAATTACGAGTATATTTCTGAGAGCATTACGCTCCCCCATCGTATTGACGTAGGTATTTCAGATCTCCTCAAATTTATGTTTGAATTCTCAGACATATTTTCCTCACGATGTTTTTCTTAGAACGTAGTAAATCATCACTTAAAACTACAATCGACACAATTATTGTAATATCGGTGTCGGTGGGAATCGACCTCGTAAAAATAAACTTGAAAAAAATTAAAAACCACCTCACAAAAACTAAAAATAACAAAATACACATAATAGCACATAATTTTCATATAATTGCTTCTAGCTTCAAGTCGGTACTAAGTGACAGTGTATTGAAATATTAAAGGTAAAGCCTAACTACTTTAGAGGCTATTATGTGCATTTTTTTGTTTTTGATCATGGCTCTTAATATTTTATTAAGTACCTATTTTTTTTAACTCTTTTGAGTGAACTAGGCAATATCGCGTGTAAAGAGCCGTGGTAACTCAGGTGCTAAGCGCTCGCTGTAAATTTCACAATAAGCGAGCAGCCCCCGATCCCCGCCGGCACCTATGAAATTGTTAACTGCAATTTTAAGTGCTGATTTACCACGTGCTCGGCGGTGAACGAAAACATCGTGAGGAAACCTGCATGTCTGAGAAATAAGGAAAAACAAATATTTCGAAGACATGTGAAGTTTGCCAACACGCATTAGGGCAGCGCGGCGGACATTTTCTTGCCCTAAAACCGTCTCGGCAATGAGAGGAGGAATGTGCCCAGCAGTCGAACGTATATAGGCTATAACTTTTTTTTAACTTTAGGCAATATTGTGAATTCAATGTAACAACTATAATATCTTATAAATAGTTATATTAAAAATTTCACCCCTATTTTTCTAGCCTTAGGGGTGAATTTATTTCTTAAAATTTATATAGCCGTATATAAAATTTGAAACTCTAAAATATCTACTTAATAGCCTCTATTAATGATAGAAGAAACGTTAAAATTGGTTTAAAAACAAATTCAGTTCAGTTATAAAGAAGTTATGCCCTAACATACATAAATATGCACACATAAATATAAAGACGAATTGGCAATTCTCTTCCTTTTTTGAAAACTATAAAAATAAATGAATAAATTTTGTAATAATACATTAAAAAGTGCATAAATAAACTTTATTTCAATATGATAAATTTGTGAACTGATAAAACCAAAACAAAACATTGCATGTAATAAAGTTCTTCTGACAGGTGTTAA